GGTGTGTGTGTCGTGTGTGTGTGTGTGTGTGTGGTGTGTGTGTGTGTGACCTTATACGGTTGTGACCAGATATAAACTTGTACAAAGTTCATTACCAGTGTAACTTGTCAGTATCAAAAACTCGTGTCCCTGGATCATTATGTACCTCTGTAATGTGAGTTTACAGTCCGGATCCATTATGTACCACTGTAATGTTGAGTTACAGTCCCTGGATCCATTATGTACCTCTGTAATGTTGAGTTACAGTCCCTGGATCCATTATGTACCTCTGTAATGTTGAGTTACAGTCCCTGGATCCATTATGTACCTCTGTAATGCTGAGAGTTACATTCCCTGGATCCAATATGTACCTCTGTATGTTGAGTTACAGTCCTGGATCCATTATGTTACCTCTGTAATGTTGAGTTACAGTCCCTGGAACCATTATGTACCTCTGTAATGTTGAAGTTACAGCCCCTGGATTCCCATTATGTATCTCTGTTAAAATTTTGTTGAGTTACAGGTCCCTGGCATCCTTATGTACCTCTGTAATGTTGAGTTACAGTCCCTGGATCCATTATGTTACCTCTGTAAATGTTGAGTTACAGTCCCTGGAACCATTATGTACCTCTGTAATGTTGAGTTACAGTCCCTGGATCCATTGTGTACCTCCGTAATGTTGAGTTACAGTCCCTGGATCCATTATGTACCTCTGTAATGTTGAGTTACAGTCCCTGGATCTATTATGTACCTCTGTAATGTTGAGTTACAGTCCCTGGATCCATTATGTACACTCCGTAATGTTGTGTTACAGTCCCTGGATCCATTATGTGCCTCTGTTATGTTGGCAGTTACAGTCCCTGGCATCCTATGTACACTTTGGTAATGTTGAGTTACAGTCTGGATCCACTTTATGTACCTCTGTAATGTTGAGTTACAGTCCCTGGATCCATTATGTACCTCTGTAATGTTGAGTTACAGTCCCTGGATCCATTATGTACCTGTGTAATGTTGAGTTACAGTCCCTGGATCCATTATGTACCTCTGTAATGTTGGTACAGTCCCTGGATCATTATGTTACCTCTGTAATGTTGAGTTACAGTCCCTGGATCCATTATGTACTCACTGTAATGTTGAGTTGAGTCCTGGATCCATTATGTACCTCTGTAATGTTGAGTTACAGTCTGGATCCATTATGTACCTCCTGTAATGTTGAGTTACAGTCCTGGATCCATTATGACCTCTGAATGTTGAGTTACATTTCCCTGGATCCATTATATACCTCTGTAATGTTGAGTTACATTCCCTGGATCCATTATGTACCTCTGTAATATTGAGTTACATTCCCTGGATCCATTTATACCTCTGTAATATTGAGTTACAGTCCCTGGATCCATTATGTACCCTGTAAACGTTGAGTTACATTCCCTGAATCCCATTATATAACTCTGTTTTTTTTTTTTTTTATCCATTTTATTTTTTTTTTTTTTATTATTTTTTTTTTTTTTAATTTTTTTTCTTTTATGTTGAGTTTACAGTCCCTGGGATTCATTATGTACCTCTGTAATGTGAGTTACCAGTCCCTGGACCATTATGTACCTCCGTAATGTTGAGTTTGCGTATACCTGGATCCATTATGTACCTGTGTAATGTTGAGTTACAGTCCCTGGCTCCATTATGTACCTCTGTAATGTTGAGTTACAATCCATGGATCCATTATGTACCTCCGTAATGTTGAGTTGCAGTCCCTGGATCCATGATGTACCTGTGTAATGTTGAGTTACAGTCCCTGGATCCATTATGTACCTCTGTTGTGGCATGCAAAGAGTACGTAACCTTTATTCGGCGCATGTACACACCCTCATTTACAGGCTATCTCCCCCAACCAGCGAACCAGGTGACTAAGAGTTGATGATGGGGCCCCGTCGTTCAACTAGTACCCAGGTTCCAGCCAATAAGAAGATGGTTTTCGCAATCGCAGAGGTTATGTGGGTACCACTCTCCTGTCTGCCCTTGTCATTCCCATTCTAGAGCTGGTTGAAGCACGGTCTGCTCTCTTGTGGCTTCTATTCTGCCTTGCTTACCGTGGAGTGCACTAATACCTATCACTGTACATAGTGTATATAGTGTACATAGTGCTGTTCTAAATTTGTGATGGATAATATAAGTCAAAACTTTTCTGCTGAGTTTATTTTGCTCCCTTTACACCCAGGACAACAGGCCATTTGGACTCCTGGGTTGTAGTATCTGTAATGTTGAGTTAGTCCCTGGATCCATTATGTACCTCTGTAATGTTGAGTTACAGACCCTGGATCCATTATGTACCTCTGTAATGTTGAGTTACAGACCCTGGATCCATTATGTACCTCTGTAATGTTGAGTTACAGTCCCTGGACCCATTAGGTACCTCTGTAATGTTGAGGTACACTCCCTGGACCCATTACGTACCTCTGTAATGTTGAGGTGCACTCCCTAGACCGATTATACACGTCTGTAATGTTGAGGTACAGTCCCTGGACCCATTATGTTCCTCTGTAATGTTGAGGTACAGTCCCTGGACCCATTAGGTTCATCTGTAATGTTGAGGTACAGTCCCTGGACCCATTATGTTCCTCTGTAATCCTTTGATTACCAGCCACAGGATGGGTATGGGGTGACTACCACCCACAGGATGGGTATGTGCTGACTACCACCCACAGGATGGGAATGGGCTGACTACCACCCACAGGATCGGAATGGGCTGACTGCCACCCACAGGATGGGTATGGGGTGACTACAACCCACAGGATGGGTATGGGGTGACTACCACCCACAGGATGGGTATGGGGTGACTACCACCCACTGGATGGGTATGGGGTGACTACCACTTACAGGATAGGTATGGGCTGAATACCACCCACAAAATGAGTATGGGGTGACTACCACCCACAAAATGGGTATGGGGTGACTACCACTCACAAGATAGGTAGGGGATGACTACCACCCACAGGTATGGGTTTGGGGTGACTACCACTACACGGATTGGTTATGGAGTGACTACCACCAACAGGCTGGGTATTGGGGGGACTACCCCCACAGGATGGGGTATGGGGTGACTGACTACCACCCACAGGATGGGTATTGGGTGACTACCACCCACAGGATGGGCCATGGGGTGATAACCCACAGGGAGGGTATAGGGAGACTACCACCTACAGGGATGCGTATGGGTGTGACTGCCACCCACAGGATGGGTTAGGGTGACTTCCACCCACAGGATGGGTATGGGTGACTTACCACCCACAGGATGGGTAGGAATGTCTACACCCAAAGGATGGGTAGGGGGTGACTTACCATCACAAAATATGGGTATGGGGTGACTACCACTCACAAATGGGTACGGGTGATACCACTCACACGATAGGTCATGGGCTCTGACTACCACCCACAGGAGGGTATGGGATGACTACACCCACAGGATGGGTATGGGGGTGACTACTATCCAGGGATGGGTAATGGGAGATACCACCCAACAGGATTGGTATGGGCTGAATAACACCCACAGGATGCGTATGGGGTGATACCACCCACAGGATGGGAATGGGCTGCTATCCACAGAATTGGTTTATGGTGATAATGATGACTACCACCCACAGGATGGATATGAGATGAACTTCCATCCACAGGATGGGTATGGGGGTGACTACCTTCCACAGGATGGTTTGTGAGGTGATACCACCCAAGGAATGGGTATGGGGTGACTACACCCAACATGATGGGTAAGCGTTGGCTACCACCCACACGATGGGTAAGGCGTGGCTAACCACCAACAGGGGTATTGGGTGACTACCACTCACAGGATGGGTATGTGGTGACTATCACCACAGGGATGGGTTATGGGGTGAACAAACCACCCAACGAATGGGTTTGGGGTGACTACCACCCACAGGCATTGGGTATGGGCTGTCAATCCACCCACAGGATGGGAATGGGCTACACACCCACCCAGGATGGGTATGCGGCTGCCTGCCACCCACAGGATGGGTATGGGGGTTGGACTACAACCCACAGGATGGGTATTATGGGGATGACTACACCCAAAGGATGGGTATGGAGGTGGCTATCACCCCACAGTATGGGTATGGGTAAACTACACCTAGAGGATGTGTTATGAGGTGACTAACATTTACAGGATAGGTATGGCGCTGATACCACCCACAAAATGGGTTATGAGGGAGAACTATCCACTCACAGGATAGGTATGGGCTCTTGACTACCACCCACTGAATGGGTATGGGGTGACTACCACCCACAGGATGGTTATGGGGTGGTCTACACCTCAGAAACTTGAAGAACAGGAGGAGAATGAGGTAATCAGTCCCTCAACCTTGAGTCGATGTGTTCAGTCCATCAATGTTGAGTAGAATACGGCATAACAGCGGAGAAGCAGCTTATAAACCGTATGGTAGGAGAGGTGCAGCAGTCATAGGTCGTGTCACATTTGTTCAATGTGGAAGTAGGTCGTGCTCAAGAATTAGGCAAGCGAAGAATTCTTAAGTATTAAGATCCCAAGAAGTTGCAGTGTCTGACAGATTTGTAGATGAATGGTTCAGAGAACCGACATGTTGGTTCCACTTAGTCAGGCTTGAGTACCACTTAGTCAGGCTTGAGTACCACTTAGTCAGGCTTGAGTACCACTTAGTCAGGCTTGAGTACCACTTAGTCAGGCTTGAGTACCACTTAGTCAGGCTTGAGTACCACTTAGTCAGGCTTGAGTACCACTTAGTCAGGCTTGAGTACCAGTTAGTCACTGACCTCCTGCATGAGACGGACTGACAGCTGGTTATATCCACTCTCAGGGTCGGATGTTTCCGAGATATACACGAAGTTATTTCCAATTTTGAACAAGTTTCTTTTATGTAATGTTTGTCTTAACATTTCAACAGTGTTGTTACCCTACAAGTTCTTTTTGTGTTCTGGTAATGTTCGTCTTTTTGATCTCTACATGACCTCACGTGACCTTTGACCTTGTACTCCCGCAGCCAACTACCTGTTGTTCCCTGTAGTGTTGGACATGGGCGAGGAGACGACCGTCCGTTACCTCGCCTCTCTCCGTGTGCCCCGCACCAGGTGTGTGTGTGTGTGTGTGTGTGTGTGTGTGTTGTGTACTCACCTATTTGTGGTTGCAGGGGTCGAATCACAGCTCCTGGTGTGTGTTGTGTGTGTGTGTGAGTATGTGTTGTGTGTGTGTGTGTGTGTGTGTGTGTGTGTGTGTGTGTGTGTTGTGTGTGTGTGTGTGTGTGTGTGTGTGTGTGTGTGTGTGTGTGTGTGTTTATGTGTGTTCAACAATATGTACTCTCCTGTAGGTGGTTGCAAGGGTCGACTCTCAGCTCCTGGCCCTGCCTCTTAACTTGCCACTCACCAGATTCACTCCCTCCTATCTTAGTGAACCATTCATCACTTTCTCACCCTGACCAATCAGACTAAAGAAATACTTCCTAACATTCCTGTGGCTCATCTGTGACCTTAACTTCCAACAATAATGTCACTGAATTCCCGTTTCTCGCCGTCTCAAACAGCCTATTCCTATCTACCTTATCAATTTACGAGCGTGTTTCATACAGTTATCACGTCTTCCTCGGTTCTTCTGGCCTCCGTCAGCGTCCTCGTAGCTCAAGCTTCTTATCTCAGGACAAACCTTCTTGTATACTACTGCACTTTCTCCAGTTTCTTAAAGTGCTTTTCAGGTGACTCACGAAATCGTGAGGGTTCAATCCCTGCCGGGGTATGGTTTGCTTTTCAGGTGTTGCTTCCATACTGGCGCCACATACTGAAGTATGGGTCTAGCGTATGTTGTATAAAGGGCGCGGAAAGACTTTCTGTTAAGATTCCTGAAGGCTACTTTTTAGATTTGCCAGACGAACATTGGCTGCAGATGTTATTCGGCTGATGTGAGCCTCTGGTGATATACTAGGCACTATGCTCACCCCTAAGTCTTTGAAGTCTCTGTTCACTTAATGTATGTGTTTTTGTGTGCCCTTTTTGTGTGTGAGTGTAGGTCTGGATATAATAATGTGTGTGTGTGTGTGTGTGTGTGTGTGTGTGTGTGTGTGTGTGTGTGTGTGTGTGTGTGTGTGTGTGTGTGTGTGTGTGTGTGTAGGTACAGCTGGATGTTAAGTCACTGAGATGTCAAAAAGTATTTCTTCAGTCTCAGGGTAGTCAGGAAGTGGATGATCTCTGCGAAAAAAGTGAAGGCAAACTCCATATATAGTTTTAAGAGTAGGTACGAGAACCCCCTTCTCCCCAGGCTAAGAGGGAGTGAATCTGACAAGCGGAAAGTTGAGAGGTTGGACCGGGAGCTAAGACTCGACCCCTGCAACCACATGTAGGTGAATACACTCACATAACTAAGCTACGTCCTCTTTATTTCAGGTCGCTGGGCAGGACCAATTCCCGGGCGTGAGTAACAGGTCTACTGGTCTGAAACTAGGATTACCAGGTCTGAAACTATGACAACCTGGTCTGAAACTAGGGTCTAACTGGTCTGAAACTAGGTCTACCTGGTCCGAAACTAGGTCTACGTGGTCTGAAAATAGGTTTACCTGGTTTGAAACTAGGTTTACCTGGTCTCCAATTAGAGCTACCTGATTTGAAACTAGGTCTACGGGTATGAAACTAGGTTCGCCTGGTCTGAAATTAGAACCAATGGTCTGAAGCAAGGAAATGTACATTAAAGAACAGTGGTTCCCAAATGTTTCAGGCAGCCGCCCCCTCGGCTCCCAGGCCACATCCCCAGCACCACACACACACATACCAGCACAACTCTTGGTACTAGGTACTTGGTACTAGGTGCTTGGTACTAGGTACTTGGTACTAAGTACTTGGTACTAGGTGCTTGGTACTAGGTACTTGGTACTAGGTGCTTGGTACTAGGTACTTGGTACTAGGTACTTGGTACTAGGTACTTGGTACTAGGTACTTGGTACTAGGTACTTGGTACTAGGTGCTTGGTACTAGGTACTTGGTACTAGGTGCTTGGTACTAGGTACTTGGTACTAGGTACTTGGTACTAGGTACTTGGTACTAGGTGCTTGGTACTAGGTGCTTGGTACTAGGTGCTTGGTACTAGGTACTTGGTACTAGGAGTACTTGGTACATAGGTGCTTGGTACTAGGTACTTGGTACTAGGTGCTTGGTACTAGGTACTTGGTACTAGGAGCTTGGTACTAGGTACTTGGTACTAGGTGCTTGGTACTAGGTGCTTGGTACTAGGTGCTTGGTACTAGGTACTTGGTACTAGGTACTTGGTACTAGGTACTTGGTACTAGGTACTTGGTATTAGGTACTACTTGGAACTAATGCAAATTGAAAACAGCAACTAATCTATCGCTATAAACAAGCCTATTTATTTCACAAATAAAAATTAACATGTTAAATCAATTTATTTAACAATATAAAAAGGGTAAATTAACGTCTCGTCCGTAATTGATTTGTCTTCACAGTTTTAATGAGATGATGTGCCTGGTGCAGGAACATCATCTTCACTACATCAGTCTTGAAGGTACTAGCAAGTCTTACATCCCAGAGTTCAGTAATTTTCAGTCTGTTTCTTTGACTGAAGAGAAGCTTAGTGACTGTACTGAAGCCTCACTGTACTAAATGTGATGTTGGGAAGGTAATAAAGTACGTCTTGACTTTGTTCCACAGTGTAGGGTAGTGGTCACAGTGTAGGGTAGTGGTCACAGTGTAGGGTAGTGGTCACAGTGTAGGGTAGTGGTCACAGTGTAGGGTAGTGGTCACAGTGTAGGGTAGTGGTCACAGTGTAGGTAGTGGTCACAGTGTAGGGTAGTGGTCACAGTGCAGGGTAGTGGTCACAGTGTAGGGTAGTGGTCACAGTGTAGAGAAGTGGTCACAGTGTAGGGTAGTGGTCACAGTGCAGGGTAGTGGTCACAGTGTAGGGTAGTGGTCACAGTGTAGGGTAGTGGTCACAGTGTAGGGTAGTGGTCACAGTGCTGGGTAGTGGTCACAGTGTAGGGTAGTGGTCACAGTGTAGGGTAGTGGTCACAGTGTAGGGTAGTGGTCACAGTGTAGGGTAGTGGTCACAGTGTAGGTAGTGCTCACAGTGTAGAGATAGTGTCACAGTGAGGGTAGTGGTCACAGTGTAGGTAGTGTCACAGTGTAGGGTAGTGGTCACAGTGTAGGGTAGTGGTCACAGTGTAGGGTAGTGGCACAGTGTAGGGTAGTGGTCACAGTGTAGGTAGTTGTGGTCACAGTGTAGAGTAGTGGTCACAGTGTAGGGTAGTGGTCACAGTGTAGGGTAGTGGTCACAGTGTAGGGTAGTGGTCACAGTGTAGGGTAGTGGTCACAGTGTAGGGTATGGTCACAGTGTAAGTGGTCACAGTGAGGGTAGTGTCACAGTGTAGGGTAGTGGTCACAGTGTAGAGTAGTGGTCACAGTGTAGGGTAGTGGTCACAGTGTAGGGTAGTGGTCACAGTGTAGGGTAGTGGTCACAGTGTAGGGTAGTGGTCACAGTGTAGGGTAGTGGTCACAGTGTAGGGTAGTGGTCACAGTGTAGTAGTGGTCACAGTGTAGGGTAGTGGTCACAGTGTAGGGTAGTGGTCACAGTGTAGGGTAGTGGTCACAGTGTAGGGTAGTGGTCACAGTGTAGGGTAGTGGTCACAGTGTAGGTAGTGGTCACAGTAGGGATGGTCACAGTGTAGGGTAGTGGTCCCAGTGTAGGGTAGTGGTCAAAGTGTGGTAGTGGTCACAGTGTAGGGTAGTGTCACAGTGTAGGGTAGTGGTCACAGTGTAGGGTAGTGGTCACAGTGAGGGTAGTGGTCACAGTGGGAGTGGATAGGGAGTGGGTCACGGTGGAGTGCGGAGGGTAGTGGTCACAGTATAGGGTAGTGGTCAAAGTGTAGGGTAGTGGTCACAGTGTAGGATGGTGGTCACAGTGCAGGGTAGTGGTCACAGTATAGGGTAGTGGTCAAAGTGTAGGGTAGTGGTCACAGTGTAGAGTAGTGTTCACAGTGTAGGGTAGTGGTCACAGTATAGGGTAGTGGTCAAAGTGTAGGGTAGTGGTCACAGTGTAGGATAGTGGTCACAGTGCAGGGTAGTGGTCACAGTGCAAGGTAGTGGTCACGGTGTAGGGTAGTGGTCACAGTGTAGGGTAGTGGTCACAGTGTAGGGTAGTGGTCACAGTGCAGGGTAGTGGTCACAGTGCAGGGTAGTGGTCACAGTGCAGGGTAGTGGTCACAGTGTAGGGTAGTGGTCACAGTGCAGGGTAGTGGTCACAGTGTAGGTTAGTGGTCACAGTGTAGCGTAGTGGTCACAGTGTAGGGTAGTGGTCACAGTGTAGGGTAGTGGTCACAGTGTAGGGTAGTGGTCACAGTGTAGGGTAGTGGTCACAGTGAGGGTAGTGGTAACAGTGCAGGGTAGTGGTCACAGTGTAGGGTAGTGGTCAGAGTGCAGGGTAGTGGTCAGATGTAAAGGGTAGTGGTCAGAGTGCAGGTAGTGGTCAAGTGAGGTATGGTCCAGAGTGCAGGTAGTGGTCAGAGTGCAGGGTAGTGGTAGCAGTGCAGAGTGTAGTGGTCAGTGAGGGTGGTCATAGTGGCAGGTAGTGGTCACAGTGTAGGGTAGTGGTCACAGTGTAGGGTAGTGGTCACAGTGCAGGGTAGTGTCAGTGTAGGTAGTGTCACAGTGTAGGTAGTGGTCACAGTGTAAGGTAGTGGTCACAGTGTAGGGTAGTGGTCACAGTGTTGAGGTAGTGGTCACAGTGTAGGTAGTGGTCAGGGTGCAGGGTAGTGGTCACAGTGTAGGGTAGTGGTCACAGTTGTAGGGTAGTGGTCACAGTGTAGGGTAGTGGTCACAGTGTAGGGTAGTGGTCACAGTGGGTAGTGTCACAGTGCAGGGTAGTGGTCACAGTGTAGGGTAGTGGTCACAGTGTAGGTAGTGTTCACAGTGCAGGGTGTGGTCACAGTGTAGGGTAGTGGTCACAGTGCAGGTAGTGGTCACAGTGCTAGGGTAGTGGTCACAGTGTAGCGGTAGTGGTCACAGTGCAGGGTAGTGGTCACAGTGTAGAGGGTAGTGGTCACAGTGTAGGTAGTGTTCACAGTGCAGGGTAGTGGTCACAGTGAAGGGTAGTGGTCACAGTGCAGGGTATGGTCACAGTGTGGTAGTGGAGTGTAAGGGTGTGGTCACAATGTAGGTAGTGGTCACAGTGAGGTAGTGGTCACAGTTGGGTAGTGGTCACAGTATAGGGTAGTGGTCACAAGTTTAGGGTAGTGGTCACAGTGTAGGTAGTGGTCACGTGCAGGGTAGTGGTCACAGTGAAGGTAGTGGTCACAGTGCAGGGTAGTGGTCACAGTGCAGGGTAGTGGTCACAGTGTAGGGTAGTGTTCACAGTGTAGGTAGTGGTCACAGTGTAGGTAGTGGTCCAGTGAGGGTAGTGGTCACAGTGAGGGTAGTGGTCACAGTGTAGGGTAGTGTCACAGTGTAGGTAGTGGTCACGTGGGAGTGGTCACAGTGTAGGGTAGTGGTCACAGTGTAGGGTAGTGGCACAGTGTAGGTAGTGGTCACAGTGTAGGGAGTGTCACAGTGAGGGTAGTGGTCACAGTATAGGTAGTGGTCACAGTGCAGGGTAGTGGTCACAGTGTAGGGTAGTGAGGTCACAGTGAGGGTAGTGGTCACAGTGTAGGGTAGTGGTCACAGTGCAGGTAGTGGTCACAGTGTAGGGTAGTGGTCACAGTGTAGGGTAGTGGTCACAGTGTAGGGTAGTGGTCACAGTGCTAGGTAGTGGTCACGTGGTAGGTGTTAGTAGGTCACAGTGTAGGGTAGTGGTCACAGTGTGCAGGTAGTGGTCACAGTGTAGGTAGTGGTCACAGTGCAGGGTAGTGGTCACAGTGTAGGTAGTGGTCACAGTGTAGGGTAAGTGGTCACAGTGTAGGTATGGTCACAGTGAGGTAGTGGTCACAGTGTAGGGTAGTGGTCACAGTGTAGGTAGTGGTCACAGTGCAGGGTAGTGGTCACAGTGTAGGTAGTGGTCACACATGTAGCAGGGTAAGTTGGTCACAGTGTAGGGTAGTGGTCACAGTGTAGGTAGTGGTCACAGTGTAGGGTAGTGGTCACAGTGTAGGGTAGTGGTCACAGTGCAGGGTAGTGGTCACAGTGTAGGGTAGTGGTCACAGTGTAGGGTAGTGGTCACAGTGTAGAGTAGTGGTCACAGTGTAGAGTAGTGGTCACAGTGTAGGGTAGTGGTCACAGTGTAAGGGTAGTGGTCACAGTGTAGGGTAGTGGTCACAGTGTAGGTAGTGGTCACAGTGAGGGTAGTGGTCACAGTGCAGGGTAGTGGTCACAGTGTAGGGTAGTGGTCACAGTGTAGGGTAGTGGTCACAGTGTAGGGTATGGTCACAGTGAGGGTAGTGGCCATTAGGTAGTGGTCACAGTGTAGGGTAGTGGTC